ATAGATCGTTCGAGAAAGTTAGAAATCCAACTTTTAGGGTGAAGCGTATGTATATGCGAGAGATACCCCTATGCACCATAGGAGCTATGGTCGCATTAGGTCTAGGTGACATTGACTCGTCTCTAGGGAAGGACCTGAAATCTACAGACTGGGATTGTGATCCCTTGGCTCATCGGTCGGACTTTGGTGACCCGCTAATGAGCCCTTGCTTGGATTGTGAGTCGTGGGAAATACTCGGTCAATCTAATAAAGCAAGTGTGGTCTGTAGTCCACAGTTGAAGGTGGAGTGCTCCATGATTATTGATTCCTAAACCATATGGATCTCTTTCCCATCAAATTAATTTAATTGTGTTTGTTTTATGATGGAAATTATTTTAAGATTATTATTTGAATTTTTATGAACCCCTGGATAATTTTTGGATTTATACAATTACAGATATTGATTTTACATTTGTTTAAATATTCAAATAATATTATAAAATATTTATATTAATTTTATATATATATATATATATATATATATAAATATCATGGGGGCCTATTGTGTACATGGGGCCGCCATATTTTAGAAGGTGGAGACCATGAGTGCCTCCCTTGGGTGGCACGTCCCACCTTTATTCTCTTTCCTATTTTTTGGTGATATGACATGTGGTCATATAGTTGGAAGATATTGATTAAATATTGACTTGATAGATTTTGTAGAAAGATCGAGTAGTCTTGTGCTATTTTATGGTATGTACAATTTTTTTATTAGATTTAATTTATTTAATTTCTATTGATGGGGAAATGGTTTAGAAAATGGGGATACTGGTTCATGCACCTTCCACAATGTTGATGGCCCATCTATGTAATGGATGGCTCAGATCTCTCACCCCACAAGTCATCGTTGATCGACGGTCTATGTTCAATTTCACAAGAAGAGGCAAGCCAAAGAAAACCCTAAGAAACACTAATCTTATTCAAAGCTTATAAAAATGTATTGTCTCTACCAAAAAATCTCTACACCTTATCTTTCTATCTCTCTCTCTTAAAAAAGTTTATCTCTCTCATATTGATCTCTCTCTCCCATATTGTGAAAGAACCTAAGGGTTTAGGTTATGCAGTTTTTCTCTCCTATCTCTCAAATATGAATTTGTGGCTAAGGGTTTTAGGGTTTAACAAAAAGAGAATACATCTCTCTCAAACAAGGTTGTTAAGATAATGCACTTAGGGTTTGAGTTTGTGATCAAAGGGGTTTATGTTTCATTGGTGTGACTTGGCCAAAATTTGCTTTTCTGATTCGAGATTGAAGCTAGACTGTTGATCCCGCGCTTATCGAATGGTAGCGACTCGCTGTGGGGTGTAATAAGCCAGGTTGAGGTAATCTCTAACACTCTTCCTTTTGTTTATTGCAATCTTATCTTTTATTCTCAAGCATAGTGTGTAGTTGTTTCAATGGCATCAAGTTGTTAAGATTTTTGTTTTATTGTTATGTTGATTTTATTTTGAAATTTATCTTATTATAATGGAGACCATATATAAGTGATCTTTTGCCAAAATAAAGGGGTGAAGAAAAAAATAAAAATAAAAATTTATATATATATATATATATTTCTTTCCGGATATATTTCTTTCCGGTACTACTTTGACATGATTGGACTCACATTCTCATGAACCAAACATGATATTTGGTAGTCCACCATGGCCGTTCTTTCTCCAAAAAAAAAACCCTTTACCTTGAGCCTAACGGCCATTTATTGGTTGATTCCAACGCTTCACACAATGCATCGATAGTTAATAAGTGAAGAGAGCATGCACTACAGTTCCTTGGAGGATAATGTGGAGTTCAACCCAGGGACATTCGATGGTCCAACCAGCATAGATGCTGGACATTGGACCCTGGAGGATATGCTCCGAGCTTACACATGAATAGACTGCACAATCCCGATGAGATCTCCACCGTCGACAATGGACGATGGATGATCTATAGGAAGTATGCAATACTATAGACCCTAAGGTGCATGGGTATGTACTTTTCATTAACATCTTTTTTGCTCTAGTTTATAGGATTTGGAACCAATCACTACTCCTTTTGTCCTAGGTGGTGCTGTGGATCATCCGTCTCACCATATTAGACAGCCTTATTGCCAATTAAAGTCATCCCACACTGGTGATATAGAAAAATCTTGAAAATAAAAATAAAAAATAAAATAGGGTTTATCATTTATTTATTTATTTATTGGGGGTTTTGGAAGGGAAGGGAAGGGGGGGGACGGGTGATTTAGTAGGGATCTAAAAAAGTATTAGATATGCTCAAGTAAAAAGAAAATTTCCCTTTTTTTAGAAAGGCGATTTTAGAGGAGGGCTAAGGTAAGACCAATACTAATACTTTTTTCAAAACAAATTCATTCATGCTCTTCGAAACTAATTCATTCATGCTCAATTCCCAAATCGGATCAGCGGCTCCCGATTCAAATCACCGAGTTTTGTAACACTAGTGCTAGCCTCTAGCCACTACACCAAGAGGTATCCCAATATTTCGTTGTATACGTCAAATTTCACGAATAACAAAACCCTCTCACCAAATAGACCAGGCAAAATGACGTATGGACCAGGTTCTCCCTCAATATTATAGTTTGATTCATACATCGCCATAATTTACGCGAGACCATTCCCCAGTTTGGCCGGTATTTTTTTTTTGTTTTTTCTTATTTGAAAAAATTACAAAAAACGTCAAGACCACATTTTTTATACAACTTACGACAACCTAATTTTTTTTTCTCATTTTTTTTTCAAAATGAACTATTTATGCAAATAACCCCAAGGAAAAAAATTCATTTTTTTATACAGAAATGCCCGTCCTGTAAACAAAAATCATTTTGGCTAGATTTGATGTTGACTTTTAGACCCAGTAGCACATTGTCGGAATGCATTAGTGCCGAACGACTATAAGACAACTACCGAACCAAAATTGAGTACTGCTAGATCGTCTTTTACATATTATTGGAACCCTGAAATCCAGTAACATCTACTGTCGGACCGCTGTTTGTAACTGTTGGACTGCTCTTTGCAATTGCCCGACTGCACTTTAGACAATGTCAGAGCTCTACTGTCGAATCGCACTTTACACCGTGCTCCTACTGCCAGACCGCATTTTACACAGCGCCATAGCCCTATTACCTGACCGCACTTACAAAGTGCTAGAGCTCCTATTTTGGTGGGATAAATGAGAGAAGCGTGTGGGTAAGGTAAAAATAAAAGAGGGTAGTTTAGGTATTTTTTTTATTTTTTATTTGGTTTGGGGGTATTTGTATTGAAAGTATACTTTGGGGAAAAAAATGAGAGAATAAATTAGGCTGGGTTAAGTTTTTATAATTTTCCCCTTTTTTTTTTTTTTTTCTAGATTCTCCCCAATCTGGTATTTCCAAAATCGGATAGTTAGGTATTTACCTAATTTTTTTGTTGTGAAATTTCTTTAGTGTAAAAAAACTTAATTTTTGTATTTATTTTCTATTTTATTTTTAAGAATTCTCTATTTATTTTTGAATTTTGTAAAAAAGAATGATGCTAAAAGATTGAAAATGAATAGAGAAGTATTTTGAATTTTAAAAATGTACTATTAAAAGAATGGTGCCAAACTATTTAAAAACAAATAGAGAATCTAATTTTTTAATTTATTTTAAAAATTCAAAAAAAATTCTCTATTTATATTTGAATATTTTGACATATTTTTTTAAATTTAAAATACATATAGGATTTTTTTAAAAATAAAAAATAAATAGAAAACAAGGCCAGGCTGGGGAGTCGTCTATGGATAAAATTTGACAAAATGTGATATAAAGAAAAAAAAAAATATCCGTACATAATTTTGACAAGAACCACCCAGCCACCGGATCATTAGAAGACATAAAAAAGTCAAACGCAAACTCAAACTCAAACTCAAACTCAACATGTTCACATGCCTCGTAACCCCACATTTTAAACGGTTGGTACATGGAAACACACAGCTGTTACCCAAAAGTTCCATCTTTTTTGGGAACACCTCTCCTCTGAAAACCAAAAAAAAAAAATTAGCTGGAAAGATACAAAGAAGAGCATTTGCCGTTCACAGTTGTCAAAAGGCCCCATAAAAACCTCATCTTTCAAAACACCTATTTAGAAAAGTTGTTTTATTCTAAAAATAATTTGAATTTTAAGGTTTATGATACTTAGATATAGCTCTACAAAAATTAGACGTCCCCTATTCAATGTTGAGGTATTTTTTTATCGCTTATATAATTTATTTCGAAAAATTCTCTATTCAATCTCAAGGCATTTTTTTTACTGCATATATGGTTTATTTCGGAATTTTTTTATTGATATTAGTTTATAGCTTGTAGAGATTATATTCCTAAAATTTGAGATCTAAATCGTATTCCTAGCATGTATTATATCCGAGGGAGTAAATGCATAGTATATTATGTGGGAATAGAAATTTTTATAGCTTTTTTTATGTCCAATTTAAGTAGTAAGTGTATACAAATAATTTTTTTTTGGAAAGTCTTTCCTGATTTTAGCGGCCATTGACTCGTCTTTAAAATAAATGTTGTAAAAGACTCACAAGGTTTATATGATGCAGAAAATTTTTCAAAAAAAATCAAATTTTAGATATCAAATTTTCTTTTCATGTTCACTGTCATTTTAACCTAGATCATGGATCCCTAAAATTTTAGATTCAAAATCCATTTCTAAGATAGTTTAAGAGGGGCCCGCATATGTATAGTATGAGTCGGCTGATTCATAGAAAACCCATGTTAAATATTACATGTTCTTAAAAAATAAGTCCAAAATCCATCTCAAAATAAATTTATTATTAGGCCCGTATTTCTGCATTTGCGGGCTTGCCGACATAGAAACCGGGTTCTATGTCCCAACCTTTTTGCAGTAGGAATTTCAAGCAAGTAGATGATGCAAAAAGCAATTCTTTTGACTGTGTAAAAAATTCAAATTTTACCATTTTTATGATTGTACTCTCTCATCAAATTTGAACGAACACATCAAACCAGCCCTCCCAAAAACTACTAAAAGAGACCTAGAGAGAGAGAGTGGAGAGACAATGCCTGTTTCTTTAGAGAGAGAAAGCCCGTTGTTGACACTAGAGAGGCAAGAAACCAGAGGCAAGATTTTAGGTAAGCCCACGTGGAACACACACTGGACCACCTTCGTAGCTTGTACGTGGGTGGCAACGTGGCTGAACCCTAGCTCTGAAACCCTAGCTTGCGTGTACCTGGAGAAAAATCCCAACCCCAATTTCCTATGCACTCTCTCTCTCTACTAATGGCGTAACCCTAAAATGTGAATACTTTGTTCGGAACAGGTTCAGCTTTTTCAGGTTTTTGGTACACGGGGTCTTTCTTTTTATTGGATTTGAGCTTTTCTAGGGTTTTGGGTACTTGAGTGCTGCTTTCCTTTCATGCATTTTGAGGGTTTTGGATTGTTGGGTTCCGGAGTTATTGCTGATTTGCATTTTCTGGGGTTCCGGGTTCTGAAGTTTCTGGTTTTTTGTTGGTTTTTGAAGGTATTTGGTACTTGTTTTTTAGGATACTAGGGCACTGGTATTTTTTTTTGGCGGGGTTTTTGAGGTTTGTTTTATGAACAATGAGTTAATGTTTTTTTAGTCCTTAGGGCACTGGGTTATTGGTTTTAGGGCTTCAGGGCTCTCATTTCTGTGGTACCCTCCAGTTCCTCTCCTTGTTCTTTTAGGGCTCTGGTTTCTTGTATCGAGGGTGATTTTATGGGTGAGGATGTATTGATGATGGAAGGAAGGAAAGATGTCGGGGAAAATGGTTACTCTATTAAGGAAAACGAGAAACCGCCTAATCCTCTTTCAAGTTCATATACACAAGGCTTTGGCCATGGCCATTTGACGCCTCCTTGTAGGCCCTCTCTCGTTCGCCATGCTTCGCTAGTAAGTTAATTTTCCTTTGCCTCTCTTTGTCTCTCTCTCTTCCTTTTCCTCTTTCCCTCCCTCTCTATTATAGTCCATGGATATTGCGATGCCATTTTTTTTTTTTTATTGTTTATTCCTTTTTTCCTGAACAATTGTACTGTTTCCCAAGAAATATGGTCCTTTTTGGAAGTTATTAGTTATATATTTATTGATTTGTTCTGTATGTCTGTTGACATTCTAATTTTTAATTTCTTTCAATTGAAACTGTACCTCTTTAATTAATGTTATAATAACAGTGCAGGCGTTTTGTGATAGTGGGGTGAACCTTTTTTTTGTTTTCTGAATATTCTAATTTTATCGTACTTTTTTTTGACTGATTAAAGGACCATTTCTAGCAATTGTTTGATCTTCTTAATCTACTCATGTATAATGAAGAGGCACACTTTTTGAACGTTCATTTGTTTATTATTGGCGCTAATTGATTTGGCTTGGAACCCCGGTCCTGGCAGCAAGGTTTTATCTGACTAGCTGAGGGAGAATTATCCTTTTCCTTTTCTGTTTTAATGTTTATGATGATGATGTGTAACTTATTGGAGTGATTTGGGGTGTGTTGGATTCGGGGTGTGAGTTTCAAAGTCTGATTTTATACTGACATTTTGTTTATTTTAATTTATTTTGAGTTTTTTCCGGGTCTGGTGGATATGTGGCGTTATGGTGAAGCTGGCCTTAATTTTGTTTTGTTTTTTTTGTTTTCTGTTACTTATTGGAAATATTTGGTTGTGGTGCGATGGGTTGGTTATGCTGATTAAGTCCTGCATGGTTGGTAGATCTCAGCTTCACATTGTTACTATTCAATGTTACTATTCCCGGAAGGCTGTAGTCATTAAATTTGCCATTTTATTGGGAGGTTGCATTACTGCTCAGTGTCAGTGAAACTGGATGAAAGACTACTGTCACTGAAATCGTCTATTTGCTGAGCCCTTTGGACCAACCAATTAAGTCTAATTTCAGTCATCTCTTAGTAACTATTCTTTTCATGTAAAGTAATTGTGCTGGCGTGTAGAAGTGTACAAAGCCTTGCTTGCAAATCATGTTACCCTGACACCAAACAAAATGATTTTAGGCATGTTTCTCATGACATGGCACTCTCAAATTCAAAAAAGGGAGAAGGGGCCTCCCCCTTTTTGGGTGGGTGGTGTGATGACGAATTGTATAATGTTCTTTATGAAATAAAAATATTTGAAAAATGAAAGTTGAAACAAAAAGAATATGAAAGCCTACATTAGAAGATGTAAAAAGCATGGGATTGAACCCATGTCATGAGATTGACAAGTTCAATGGCATTACCAATAGGCCAATGTTCAAGATATGTTCAAAACACTCTTGGAAGTGCTCTCATCACATGGTCTTAATATGGCTTTATGTTTGCTCCTTCTGTATTTAAGTCATGTATTTTCCTTTTCAGGTTCACTGGCTTCTGTAAAACATTGAATACAATCAATGGTATAGACTTGATAAAACTACATCAATCTAATATAAAGAATAGGGCACACCCACACACCTATGCATCATAAATGAAGCAATATACTTGGGCTTTCAAGTTTTATTTTCTAAACCTTTTAAAGTTGATATTCTCCACTCCCATGTCGCTCTTGCCGTGCTGTTGTTTGCTCATCTAGTTTCTGCTAGATTTGGCTGAAATTGCTTGCAATTGAAGAGGGTAGATATGCATATGTAATATATTTATGTCCCTATACTGGATTGTTGAAGAAAATGGGGAGCTTGGAAATTGATGACAGCAGGGGAGATCTAAGTAACTGTTAGATGCGGATCATGTGCTTGAGAACAGTGTGATATTTGAAGTAGGTGGGGGCAAGAATATGGTGAAAACGTGTACAGAAAGAATTGATCTTGCGCTTGGGATTATTCAGTGTTGATTAACATTCAAAGGGGTGTTTCTATAGTTTAGTCTTGCTGCATGTACATGCATGCAAAACAAGAGGCATGGTGACTGGTTGCTAGGGGATAAGCTATGAAGTATGGAATGGATTATGGGAAAGGCTTTTCCGTTTTACCCAGTACATATCATTTTACTTTAATCAATTCTCTGTGTCTTACATTAATGGGTGGCCTCTGCATCAATTTGACATGAAAACTTTTGTTTTGCATGGGAACTTGAAGTAGTAACTTCATATGTCCCTACCCCCATCAAAAAAAAAAAAACTATCACTCCGGAGTTTTGCAATACAGAAGTTCATGCAACTCCTTGTGCTTGCTATGTTTTGTGTTGGGTGCAATGCATGAAATTCACTGTATAAAATATCTGGTGCACGAATTTAATGACAGGTTACTTCAATTAATCTCTCCTCCACAATGTATGGGGTTCTTGTGGTTACCTCCACACATATGGGCTGCTTGAGCTTCATAGGCGAAGTGGGTTTTCATTGGCATGATGATTATTTCTTTAGTTGATATGAATTGGATAATAGCTCCATTGGTACAAATAAGTTTCTTCAATTCATTGTATTAAAGTTTGGCTCTTGGCTCCATGTCAATACTTAACGGTTGACCTATCCTTGTATTAATTTTTTTAATTGTAGGTGCATATCCCTTTTATTTGGGCCACCCATAGTGAACAGTAGGCATCACATGCTAGTCAACTGCATGTTGCAGTACTTTGTCCTACTAGTAATGTATGGAGTAGCAAAGAATCATGAGTATAACATTTACACTCCTCCAGGGGAATACTGTCCTTTTATTCCCTGGGTAAAACCTAGTCTAAGAGTAATTTTAGGACCCCAAATGTTGCAGATGTGACCTCTTCAACCTAGCAATCTAACTGGAAATTTTTTTTTTTTTCAATTGCACTTGTATGTGGCCAATTTTTTTTTTTTTTTCGAAATCCAGATTAATGTAGTGAATAGAAAAAATGCAGATTTTTTTATTTTAGAAAATATTATGTGGTATTCTTAGGTGGAATCCAAAATTTCAGATTGGAAAAATCCTCCCAAGTAGCTCTTTTGCTTGAGGGAGTAATTTTACAGTCTGCTCTTTTGCCTGAGGGAATAACTGTACAGTATGCACCTGCAGGAGCATAGTATAAATGCCATAATTAATTAATTATCTAAGAAACTTGAATTTACTCCATTATTCTATTCTAGCATGACATACTGTTCTAATTTGCATTTCTTTTGATGTGTATGATTTTAATTTTACAGATCAAGATTAGAGAGGACTCCGGAGAGAGTAGAGGAGCCTCGAAAAGCGAATTCATCCCCATTGTTCGTTCTGGTGGTTGGGCTGACATAGGGTCCAGGCAGAGCATGGAGGATGTACATGTATGTGTGGATGATTTCCTGCATGATTATGATGGACGTGAGCATTTTGGAGAGGGGCCTGGTGCATTCTATGGGGTAAGTCAAATCTTGCTTTTTACTCCAAATCAATATCATTGCTAACTATGAGAAATTTCTGGTGATGGTCCAATGGAAAGGAGATGATTTTCTTGACTGCAATAAATGTTCCCGTTATGGAAATTTCCTTAGTTGTACTTTTTTAATTGTCCCTTGCAATGGGCTCAAATCGCTTATCTTTTCTGTACATTTAGTATCTGTGTTAAAAGAAGATTGATATGTAGATCAGACATAGCTCATAAAAAATAGTCACATTGGACACATCCATGCAGTGTAAACATGTATGGACATGGTATATTCATATATTTACATATAGGGTGTGGTTTCTATAAGGTTGCAGCCCTAAACAATCCAATTAAGGCGCACCTCCAAATTATATCATAACATGTAATTTTGGTGAAAAAAATTATTAGGATTATCTCAAAATCTATTTTCATACCTAATTATAAAATTTTGAACTTCAAAAATGGTTAAAATCAAGTAGATCTATAAACATATGAAAATCTTGAAAATGGATGGTCTAGATAATGTATTGCAAGATGCACTATTTTTTAGATTCAAAATCCTTTTTTTTCCATATTCATACATCTCGATGTTGGGATGACCAATTAAAGGCTTTTTCAATATTAAAACAACCTTTGCCGATGGATTTTTGAGGTGCATCTGTAATTCTACATTTTAAGGTTGCAACCTTATATAAACTTTTTCCTTACATATATAGTCAATATATAAATTAAATAGATTAAGAAACAAATTTGTTTCCTCAAAATTGGGACATGTGCTTTCAATTTAGGGGACTTGTCTAAGTTTTGGATAGAATATCCAGATGTACATGTTTAAAACCTGGGCCTGCCAATTCCCGTTAGGGCATTTTGAAGGACATGTTTTTTGGGAGTGTATCCGTTTATAGTTTATTGGTGCTTGAGCTCAGAAGTCATGATATGCTTGTTCAAGTCAAAAGGTTGTGTGGGGTTGATAAGTGGCATGAGACCAAAGAGTAGAAAAGCTGGAATCTATTATTGTACTTCTATATGTCATGATTAATTGAAATGTTCTTATTTAATTTAAAGTTGTAGAATAACTGTATTTTTTAATAAACTGTGAATGAGTGAACATACAAGGGGTTTTGGTTTTTTTTTTGGTTGGGATTTTAAGCCTAAGGTCTCTTTTGGATATTGGCATAATTGTTAAGAATCCTTTTGGTAAGACTGGAAGATTATTGGTGAATGATAGATAGAAGTCCCACCTTAAGAATAGAAGGGCTACATGATAGGATGGTTTATTAAAGCTCCATTTTGAGAATAGTTCCCAAGTAGGCCCCTTGAGTTGGCAGCCTTGGTTGGCCAATGTTAGCAGAATCATCTGGATCTTTGTGAGGCCTTTGGTTATTTGTAACTCTAATAAGGGATTAACAAAAGCCATGAAACCTGTTTCTATTTTTTCTATCTCGGCTTCATTTATTGCATATTTGCTTTATTTCATTAGGTGGATCTCTGGAGTTATGCAATATGCATTACCTTTTGCGATCTGTTAATCGAGAAAAATTTCGAAAGATAGAATGTGGTGTCTATCTTACATTTCTTTATCCTCAGAATAGCTACTTCCTGTGTGGACATGCTTGCTTCAAAGGCAGTTTTGGGTACTTGCTGTTGGTTTGGATACTTTCTTTTGCTATGAGCATTTATCTTGTGTTCCTTTGATTAATAACAAGGATTTATGTCAAGTTATGCAAGGATATAAGCATGAACCCAAAGAAGGGAAAGGAGAAGGGGTTAAAGAACAGGATGATAAAGGTGATGTGCACATAAACAAATCCCAAGATGGATGAGGAACTCCTCTTAACCAAGCAATTCCACCTTGCACCTGGCCTGTCTGAGAATATGGTTGCAGGAAATGGGCACCTCCTCCCATGTTGTGGGGATCTCCTTAAATATTAGCTGATCTCCAAGGTTCTCCTACATGTGGTTCCATCTATAAACATTGGGAAAATCACATTCCATATTCAGGGGGTCAAGAAAAAGGGGGAGCTGACTTTAATCATGATGAAAAGTATCTCTCTTTAGTTTGAGTGGGAATCATGCATCCAAAACTAAAGAGAGACTGTGTTGTTCCTATTTGAGTTACTATATTTGGCAGCCCTAGGTTCCCTTGGGAGCTATCATCCAAAATTCAGGTTGCTGCAACAAAATGTCCTATTTCTAGTCTTAGGGATGAGGCTTTTCACCATCGCCCATTCACAGGTCAAGTCAGTTATTCAGAAGCCAAATATTCTTTGAGGCTTAAGCCCATGAGATTACAAAACCTAGTATCTTACCAGAATATCATGTTATTTCTTTTACTTAAAAAAACAGCCATTGGTTACATCTTCTGGAGCAACTGGTGTATACTAGCAGTTGAGTGCAGGACCAAGGTCCTGTGCATATGTGAAGTAGATTTATAAGGCTTCTTTAGCCTCTTCCCTTGAACGTGGTTCATAGTGAGGGCCTTACTAGAGTTTGTATACCTCTTACTGATGTTTACATTTATACTAGTGATTCTCATTGCTAGGGCTGAGAATTTACCTGATTCGGATCCAAAACCCGAATTTCGGATGCGGGTATGGATCCAAGAATTGGATCTAAAATTCGGATCCGGATCCAAATTTTAGATCTAAATAAAAATCCGGATTGGATTCGGGTATAGGTGGATCCGATCCTGATCCGGATCCAACTCGATTTTGTTAAAATAGTATATTTTTAAAAATAATATACTTTTTTTAGTGAGAAATCAGCCCAAACTCTCTCTCCTCTTTTTCTCTTCACTCTACTTCGCTCTTCCTCTTTCTCTCTCTTCATTTGGCTCTACTTCTGCCCCTACATTTAGCCAATCATCTCTCTCTTCCTATCTCTTCACTTACCAAAGCTCTCGCCCCTTTCTTTCTCCTCATTTTCTTTCTACTTCTTGGCTATATTTTTCCAAAAGAGACTTTCTCCATTCTCTCTAAAGGTTAGAGTTTGCCAGCAAAAGAGAGGGGTTTTTCCGCAGTTGAGTAGGATTTTCTGGCAGTTGACGCCTTGCCTTTGAACATCCGACCGCCGTTAGAGGGGGAGGAGTTGCAGGTCAAGAGAGAAAAAGAGAATAGGAGGAGGTCAAAAATTGGACGAGAACTACTCTAGTATTGTTGGTCCAATTGGTGCAATAATCTTCCTGCAATTTCCAGAGTTAAAGGAAACAATAAAACATTCAACAACATTAATTGACTACTCCAGTATCCTTACCTAAACGATAGTCATGAACCCTAATTGCCAGATACCAAGTAAATAGATCTATAAATCCACATACTTGGATTACAAACACAAACAATCAAGCTGCAGCATTATCGAGGTTTTGAGTTCAAAAGAACCCTAATTCACCAAGAAATAAAACCCGGTTTACCATTTTAGCAAGAGTAAGAGCGGATTGCCGTGCCACTATCAAACTACCCTAATTTTATAGAACCAGAAGGAAAGTCACATAGAGGAAACCCTAATTTAAGCACTAAAATGAACATTAGAAGTAAAAGAAACCCTAATTTATCATTTTTGGTAAGGATCGTGATTAGATCTGAAGTGGAAAGGGATGATAGATCTAGTGAGATGGCTCTACATTTAAAATGTATCTGAAGTTGCAGTCTGCCTTCATGGTTTTTGGGATTTGGGTCTACTTAAATTTTAATTGGGTTTTAGAGAGTAAGAATAGGTGTGGTTTTGAAATACCTAGAAGCCATTAGCAAGACCTAGTGTTTTTCTCTTTCTCTCTCTAGAACTTCTTTGAGGAGACAATTTGGGTTGTTGGGTTTTGTTCGAGATGAGAGAGGAAACAGAGAATCACGTCGTTTTGAGGAACCAGATGCCATTAACAAGTATTCAGAACAAGAAAAAAGCTCATGAACCCCTTTCTCAGGTCAAGATCAAAAGGAGAAGAAGGCATTGGGGTAGAGCGAGAAAGGAAGGAAAACTCACAACAACAGAGTAATTCGGATCCCGATCCGGATCCAAATATCCAGGATCTGGTCAGATCCGGATTTGGATCCGATGTGTACTATTCGGATCTGGATCCAGATCTGGGTGGATCTGGACCCAATCTGGAAAATTCTCACCCCAAGTCACTTCAGCCAGCAAAAGGTTCACTCCATTTGTTTTTTGTTTGGGATAAACTTGAAGGATTGAGCCCTTGACCTTCCTCATGTGAGCTGGATGTATTACCAGTTGGCGAATATTTAAGGACAACACTCGTGACTTATTCTTTATAGAAACTCTCTCGGAATCCTCTAATCCTCTTCTGGTTGGGATTTGAAGAGAGTCCGGAAGTAGGAATATTGTTGACTTAGTCTTAATGAGGGTAATTTTCTTTTCAAGAGAGTGATTTTGGACTAAGATGCATGGCTCCTACACAAGTAGGTAAAAGGGGTGAGAGGCATGAAGCAAGGATGTTATCCTTGCTTGCCTTAATGATGAAGGTAGCTTTGTTTTCTAGCTAAAGTGATTAGGGCCGAGAAACTTGGCTCCTTCACATATAAAGTGGGCGATGGGCTAGGTTTGTGATTTTTTTTTTTTTGTGGGTAGTTCTGTGGCGTACGGGTTTCATTCCTACAATGGTAGGAATGAAATTCAAGACGTCACACTGTGGCGCCCGCCACTTGACCACCTTGCCTATTAGATTATGGTTGGGAACTTAGAGTTGGGGTTTGTGGAAGTATGCTTGGATTAATGGATTGTAAGGGCATGCTTGGATTAATGGATTGTAAGGGTTTGAAGCTTAGCCTAAGAACCATTGTTAGAGTTTGCAGATATTGGAAGGGAATCAGAAGGAATTTTGGTGAGAATTTAAGGTTTAATATAGTTAGTGGGTTCAATTGGTTTAGGTTAGGTTGATAACGGAGTGGGGCATTGGTGGAAGATGAAGTGTGTGAGAAAGGTGAAGAAGGGCCATAAATTCGAGAGGAATCTCTCTAATCAAATGTTAAAGCTTGTCACAGGTCA